ATCAAAATCAGATCCAGATATATTCAGAACTATCTGAACATGGCATTATTTGGTGAATTTCAAATATTTCTGAATCTGAATGCGCACCTCTAAAAGCCCACCTATATTTTATGTAGTGCTTTGCCTTCCTGCCCTACTTAAGACACTGCGTCGTTTATAGTGCAGGAAATCTTGTTTCTTGCCTATGGGGGATGAAAGACTTTTTCATTCACCTAATAGTTTGCCACAAATAGAAGCAGAAAGAGGCCCTTGTGTAGTCTTTTAAGACTGTTATGTTACATTTTGCTAATAGAAACAGATTGTTCAGTGTTACGGATGGGTAGCCAAGAGCAGTGCGTGTGCTGTGTGGCCTGCAATAAGTTTCTTTTTAGGAGGAGATTTTCGAAGTCTCTGTTTTTGCAAGTGCTATCTTTTCAGAGAATCAGTTTGTTCTGTTTGCACTGTGCAGATCCAGAACACTGATCAACATGCACTAGTCTCTACACTTGAAAGTAATGTGCAAAGAATAGAAGTGGGGGAAGTCTTTTTCTCCGGCTGTTTCTGTTTAACAGGGACAGTCAGTCCAGAGTCCTCTGTATCTAGAAAGCATTACGCTTGCTTTTGATTGGTGAAGATGCCTTTTTACTTAAAGTTGTGGTGGTGTGAGTTGCCAGACTTGTCATTCTAGAGTTCAGCTCCCCCCGCCCAGGGAAGCTAAATCTCTTAGTTGAGGATGGATGCACCTTTTCTTGAATGTGTTCACATGCCAGTGATTGCACATGAACGACGGCATTGCCTATTTCACAGACTGTTGCTTCTAGGACATATTGGAAAGGTTGGGCCACCTTTTGCTTTCTCCCCCAGTATGTCTTTAACCCACGGAACTAGTGTGCCCTCTTGGCTTTTTAAATCGGTGGAGGATGGGGTATTTCCTAGTAGGCAAACAGAACACAGAGCAGGCAAAATAAATTTTCAGCAGCCTAAAATAGGGGAGGGGTGAGATCTGCTGAGTGAGCTTTGGCATGGGAAGATAATTCTGTTCAAAGCATGTCTTTATGTTTTCCTGCAAAATACTAGAGGGGGTAAGCTCTGGTGAAACCTGGTTATTCGAAAGGAGGTTGTGGCAATTGCTGTTGTGGCTCAAATGACCACCAAAGCTTGGAGTGGTTACTTCTATGGACTATGAATCCCCAAATTCAGCAGCCAGCATGGTCTGCAACCATGTTGTGACCACAGTGACTGCAAAATTCTGAGAGCTGTAATTAGACATCACCATTCCAAGCTCTGTGGTCACCTAAACAACTGCTTCCCAACTTTGACTATTGAGATCATATTACTCTGCAATTCTCATCATCTCTATCCAATAGTTATGCTGTTTCAGGATGATGTAAGATGCAGCCAGACATTGTTTGGCCATGGATGTGGACAGCTCAGACCTAAACCATGGCAGCTAGATACCTAACTCACTGAGCCAGCAAAACCATGGCTTATGTGATGTTTTAGATCCCGGCTTGCTAATTAACTATGGTTTGTTTTCAATTGAAAGTGAAAGCTTTTCCTTTTTTTTCCCCACTCTCTCTGCACAAAGTGGAGAAGACAGAAAGGAAGAAATCCAAAGACTGACCAGGAGTTCAATGCTGTGAATTGTTGTCTGCTAATACACATGTCTGGCACACATAAGACTTGTGTAGCCAAATATTTTCGCTATGGGTCTTGGCTCTTTGAGGATCCCATAAATAAATATTCTAAGAGAAGATCAAGTTCAGTTTCTTCCTCCCACCCCCTTGTCAAATGAAACTGGGAGATGTTTTTGAAATGGCACTGATCTTTAAAAAACTGAAAATGAGTGTTCACAGCTGCCCCTCCCACCTGGCTTTTCTTGTTATCTCTAAATAGAGTGAGATCTATATCTGTCTTCAATCAGACAACTAGTTTCCCTGAAGAGGTGCTTTACCAGGTCTTTGGAAAAGGGGGGGGGAAAGGGGCCAGTGCAGTGGAGAAGTTGGGAAATTGTGAATGTGTGTATAGTGGGCTTTTCTGGCACTGTTAGGCATGATTACTGCTAATCTTCTATAAATGCCCTTTCACTTCTCATTACTGGTAGCTGAAGGCTGGGGGCATGGGGAGGGGGCTTGGGAATCGAAACTGAAATCCTCCGCTGCATTATTTGCTAATGAGTTCCTAATGATGAAGATGTTTCTGGCAGTCAAGCAATTAATGACCTGCTGAAGTGGACTTTCTGAGGGCTGGATAAAAATTCAGGTCCCCCGTGGTATGCTGTTCTAATGACTTAACTCACGATTGTCCCCAGATTCCAAAAATGTCATAGCTAGTCAACTGGATCGCAGACGTCCAGCTGAACACATGCAGGCATAGACTTAAGCAATGCTTCAGTGGCATGGGTGAGAAAACAGGCAGAGCAGACTGGTTGGTGAAGGATGGTGATGCCAGTTCTCACCTGCCTATATGGAGCAAAACTTTATTGGAAAATGAAGATATTGTTGGCAGTTAGTAATTTGTTATTGCTAAAAATAATACAGTACCATTGATTCATCTCCATTAGTGGCTCTTCAGCTGAAATCCTGCTCCTGTAACTTAATGCTGCATAAAGCCAGTGATGTCATCAGCAGGAGCAATATTTCTGGATGTGAAACATTTCTGATATTTCTCCCTAAGGTCCTGAGAATCCTGTGGAATCACTTCCATCACTAAGAAGCTGTGGAAGCCATGGGGCAGAAGGAGGAAGTCTTTAATTACCAAAAATTGCTGCTGGTGATAAAATCATCCTGACACTAGCAATTTTCAGTAATTAAATAATTCCCTCTTCTGTTCTATGGATTCCACAGCTTTCCAGTGACAAAAGGGATTACTTGAGAGCATCAGGAACTTTGGCCGTGAAGTCAGACATGTTTAATTTCAGAAAAATTGCCACTGCTGATGACATCAGCTGTAGGTTATGGCAACAGGGTTTCAGCTGTTGTGTTGCTCATTGGGTTTTTCCTTACTTAAAAAACTAGATCTTAGAAATGACCAAAGAATACCATAAGACTTTAAACATTCAAGTCAAAATTGAAATACCTTTAAAAGTAATAAGTCTCCAGAAAATCTGATTCATTACATAGATATATAAACACACAAAAGACATTGGCTAACTTGACAGTGATGTTATTTCCTTTATGTTATTTTTGAAATGCAACTCATGCCCTCCGTACCAAGAGAGAGAGAGATAGATCTGCTGGCTAGTAACTGTGTTACTTGTAATGAGTTCTTTCCATTTTTCAGAGAGTAGTTATGTTCGTTTTCACCCGCATGTATAAAAAAACCCCCTACTAAACTAAAAGTTAAAATTAACAGACAGACGTTAGTGGAAGCTTCTGTGGATTGCAGTCTACTTGGTTGAATGAAATGTATTCTCTTTTAGCTACACGTTGTGGGGTAGTGGATAGAGTGATGGATTAGGACTCTGGAGATCAGGGTTCAAATCCCCACTTGGCCATTGAAACTCACTGGGGGAGTATATCTGGTAAAACTATTCCTAAAATAGCTCACTTGCCTTGAAAGCCCTATTAGGGTTGCTGCAGGTCAAACATCCTTCATTGAAGATCCCACCCACAGTTTCTAACGCCACATGCATCTGGGGTTTTACGTGTGTTGTGAAAATTACGTGGCAGCATATTTGTATAGCCTGGATTTTATTTCCTGACCTCACAATTGCTGCTTGGTGTAAAGGCTTGTGGGTCTGTTTAATTTCTGTCCTTTTTAGGGGGTGCCAGAAAAGAGATCTGTTCTATAGGTTCACTCAGAGAGCTGTCAGTTTATTTTAATTAGTTTCTATATCTATTCGTCTATTGAACGGGTGTCAGAATGTGACAGTTATTCCCCACACACACACACACATACACAACAGTCCCGCTGAAGAGATATGTGTGGGAATCGTTAGGCTGCTCTTTAGCCTTCCGCCAAATTTTTTTCCAGCTCATTTTATGCCCCGGTTGGTGAAGACCTGACAGGGTAAATACAGAATATAGCTGACGGGCAGACAGCAGGCATCAAACGACCTTAAACTGGCCTGAATCAGAAGCTGTGTTTGATGTGGCAATGGCAGAAAAAAAATGAGCGATGAGATGAGAGGCTTGCAACTTTCATAGTTCCTCCAAGGCCTCGGGATATCCTGATGATGTATTAGAGGAAGTAATTCAGGAAGAAAAGAGACAAATAACCACCTCTGGATCTGGGTTGATCCTGCGGGGTGGCAAGGCTGTAGTGAGCCGAAAGGACAGCTTGCAACCCGCAGAGATCCGAGGAGCGCTTATTGTACCAGCTTCTTACCGAGGAGAGCAAAGCCCTTCTCTTTTATACGCCTTATCCATAATGGCCAAGCCCCTGCTTCTTTCTTTTCTTCTTTTCTTAAAGACAGATCTGCCAGCTCAGAGGGGCAGTGCATTTGCAAAAGCACAGATACCTTCACCTTCCTCTTGGTAGCGGGCAGCCAATGATTCGTGATGACCCTTTTCTGTATGGCTGGCACCTTTCCCACCCAACCCTTGCTGCTTAATGAGACGTCTATACTGTAATAGGAAAAGTCCCATCACGTTTAACGGTACCCAAAGCTAGTAAGACTTTTCAGACAGGTGGGAAAGAAAAGGATTGGTCATGTATAACAGTGATTTGTGTCCTTTTTATTTCATGTTTGATCTCCCCAACCCACCCCTGGCCAGAAAAAGAGCCATCTTTTAAAATGTATATGAAACTTATGAGGCTAGCGATGGGGGCAGTACAGACCACGCTGTTTGCTTTCTAGCAGCCCTTTTTAGATTTAATGAATGAATTCAGACCAGCCCTCAGCATTGCATGTGCACATATACTGATTTCTGAATGAAAGTTTGATGGGTAATGGAACCAAAGTGCTTTAAAGTCATTTATTTCACCATCTTCTCCGATCAAGGAGGCAAACTTAAAAAAACAAAATCATTAATTCTGTCCCTCTCTTCCACCCCACCCCATGTTTCTTTTTAAAACAGGATTCGGCTTTGTAACTTTTGAGAACGAAGATGTCGTGGAAAAAGTCTGTGAAATCCATTTTCATGAAATCAATAATAAAATGGTAAGTTTTCCCACTGAGCACCTCAGGGATTTTCTTTTTAAAGGAAGATAGTTCTCTTTTTCACAGGCCTGGTTGGGTGCCTTCTTGGTTGTCCTTGAGGAAGCGGTTGTGACATTTATTCATGAATCAATGATGTTTCCCAACATTCAGAATCAGATTCTTTCACTTAACGATGTGTCCTGCAGAGTGCTGTATCTTACGCACCAAGTGTCCTTATACACCAAGAAGTGTCAGCTCTGTATTTTTGATACAACGTCTCTGAGACGTCAGGGTTGCGCCCCTGAAAGAGCCTGGCCCTCCGAGGGATATTTGCATGGGGTACGAGAGAACCTTCTCAGGCAACAGAACTTGGGGCCAAGGGCCACTCGCTTGTTTGCTTTCCTTTCGTCCTTATGCTGGCAGGCAAGGACCTACCTAACCATGCAGGCTTTCTGTAGCACTATAGGGCAGTAGAAGGGACACTAAAGCACCTAAGGTCATTGAGTCCACCCCTGCTACAGAAAACCTACAGCACCCAGCCTTTGTTTGAACTAGGGAAGGTCACCTTGTTTTTTAAAAATCCCATGGTAGTGTGTTAATTATATTTGTATCATATCTTTCTGTCAGGGAGCTCCCCACGTTACTCTCACAAAGGTCTTGGAAGGTGAGTCAGGCTGAGAGGGAGCGATTGGCCCAAGATCATCCATTAGTTTTACGACTCTGTGGGAACAACCGTGGGTTTCCTAAGCACCAGTCCACTTCCCTAACCACTATCCATGCTGGCTCTCTTGTAGAGATGGAAAGAAATGTGTTGCTCGGTTTACCTCAGAAACATCTCTTGATGCAGGCCAGAAAGCCAATGTGGCATAGAGGAGATTTCCTAGTCTTAATTCCGGAAGACCTGAATTTGACTTCTCATTCAGATGGAAGACTTACTGGATGACCTTGGTTCATTTGCTGTCTCCACGTCTAACCTACCTCACAGGGTTGGTGTCGCTTGCTGTAGGCATCTTGCGGAAACTACAGCTAAAAATTATGGCAGAGTGTTCCTTTCAAGTCTGTGCTCCTCTTTCTATCCTGGATCAGGAATAAAGCTTTTTGTTGACACCATCACATATTTTTGCTTTTGTTCTGGAAATGGGCTCCTCCTTCAATAAAGCCATTGACGTGGATTATGAGGGGGAAACCAATGCAGAAAACTGCACCTGTATTTTAATCAATGCAGTAACTTTGACATTTTCAGCTAAATATTCTCTCCCACCTCCCCTTTTGTCACAACATCTCCTGCTTCTCAAAGTTGTATTCAGATAGGCTTTATATATTGGTCTGAGATGTGTTCACAGACTTTAAATTCAATAATGGGGCTTTTAGTCTGGATAAGATCAAAGCAATCTCCTTAGCATATGCTAGAGGCTGATTCAATATTTGACTTGCTAATTTTTCCCAGGGCTCTGAAATAATATCCCTCATATTGTTCCTCTCTTCACAATATGCCTCTGAAATGAAAATAACAGGGCCATTTTTTAATGCTCCATGTTGAGATGTCAAGGCTGGGCTCTAAAGGTGCGGCTGCAAAAAAACAGAGGTGATCCTGGCACATTGATTCTATTAAGTTTCATGAGCACAGTCGGAGCTCCTGTTCCTGGATGACTGACAGGGGTGTTCATTTGTATTTCTTTGCTGCAAAATGTAATCCCCCTGTAGCCTCCAGTAGTGCTGAACAATGCAGGTAGACAGGCAGTGTTGTTGTTATTTCAGGTACCCTTGTTTCTCTTTTATTAAATATACAGGTTGCATAAGATGCCATTCTTTAAAAAGAAAATGATACCCAATTTCTGCTGTAAGAACACCCAGATTGGCATATTTCTTAGTTACAAAAAACAAACAAACCCGCACCCTATTCAAAACAGGGTCATTCACACCTAGGTTGTGAAGCAGTGATGTCTGTGGTAGGCAGGATCCTTTTTGGTGAGCAAAGAGATGGAGTTAGAGCAAAATCTTGGAAAACAGGGATTGAAGGTGATGGCTAAAAGGAAGCTAAGTTCCCGAGGAGCCTGAAAACATGATGAACATCCTGCTGATCCTTCCTCTTCCAGATCTTCAGCTGGAGTATTGCTTTCAGCTCGAGTAGAACCTTTCCCCAGAAATGGAGGTTTGTGGCCACCAGACAGACACTAGCGAGTTTAGCTTTTCTATTGGACCTGTCTCTGCTTTTGTTCTTCAAAGCCAGGAGATGAAGGAGGAGAATTGAAGATCAAGGCAAGGCTCAGGATTACATTAGAGAGTAGTTTACCAGTGGTGGGTTCCCAGATGCTCTCGAACTTAGCAGAACCTAAACCATTTCTCCATCCCATCCTCAGCAAGGGATCTTGTCTGATTTTGGAAGCTAAGGAGGGTCAGGTCTGGGTTGTACATGGATGGGAGACCCCCAAGGGAATACAGGATGCCTGTGTGGAGTGGAGTGTACGGTCCTTGGTCCAGTCCGCAGCACACACTATCTCAAAACTTGGACATGAGAATGGACAGTACTTGGGGCTAAATGGGTCAAGGGCCTGGTTCTGTGCAAGGTAACTTCTTATACTTCCTAATTGAAAAAGAGGATTGGAAAAAACTGATCAAACTTCATTTAAAAATCAGGAGTCCAGAAACCATCACAATCTGAGTTGGCTAAAAAAAAAATAATAATAATCAAGGCAATACCTCCCCTGCCCAGATCCCTGTCAGCCCAGGGGCAAAACGGCATCTGGCATCTCAGTGCACTGTGGCTTCCACGTTGTGCTTTGTAAGGCCAAGAGCAGTGCTGTGTGTTGCCCTTACAATGAGTTCACGTGGCTTTGTTGTCCTGCTCCTTGCGGGATGTTTGCCATTCAGCTGTACACTCCTGCGGAGATCCCTGTGTGGCTGACCTTCAGGTTGATTCCCATGAGGGCCGACAGAGCAAAGGCAGCTGTACCATTGTAGCTGAAATGTGTATTGTCTAGGCCTAAACCTATAAGTAATTAATAGGTTGGGCAGTGTTTGGAAGTAATCAGTTACAAATAAGGTAGCCACCAGTAATAAGTTACCCCTTTTGTTACTCCTATCAAGAGTGGCTCACAATTATGCTTTTTAAATGTTCTAACAAGTAGGGACTGCCTTTCTCTTTTGTATGTAACAAAAAAAGGTATGCTAGTCACTTTTTAGTTACATTTTGAACGGAATGTTTCAAGTTTTATGTAATTCTCTTACCAGTCCTAAGGATTCTTCCTTCCAGAAAGTAACAAAAAAAGTTACAGTAGCCACAAGAATAGATAAATAAAAAATAAAACTTTACACCCGTCCATTGATTATGTTCTCTTGGTTTAGCATTGAGTTACATGAAGTTACATTACTTTTTCACAAATTGAACTTCCCAAAATCTGGCAGTATGGTTGCATTCCAGGATTTTCACTGTTCCTTTCACTTGGCTGGCCTAGACGCCGCTCCCGGAGAGAGCCAGGGGATGGGATTTGAAGCGCTGGTCTGGGCGCAGGGTGGAAGATGATGCCGCAGGAGATGCTGGCTTTTGTGCTGTGTGGCAGCAAATGCACGGGAAGCTACCTGTAGCCAGAGACAATTTAACCAATCTGTTCCTCGGGGTTGTGTGTGAATATCACAGCTGTGGCTGGTTTCCTAACAAATGTGCATCCAACTGACTGCACAGTTGACATCTCGAGGTAGGCGTTGGGTTGCCATCTGCGACTTGACCGCCTCTTCCTGCTTCACAGCCTCTTTCTGTCCTCCTCAGCTCAGCGTCCTCTTTTCCTCTATGGGTAGACCTTACTTTGGGTGCACTCAAGCGAGTTAGCATATGCAAACGAGCAGAAGCCAGGGAAATTACAGGTAACGGGGTTTCCTTGCTCTCTAGGAGGCGGCTTTCTGAGAAGGGAGGCAACCCACTTGCTGTCGTGAAGATTTGCAATCAAAATTAGACCAAGGAATGTGCTCCTTTGGTTCTAGTCTAAGAACGCACATACCCCTCTCTCCTCCTTGAGATCTTTTTTTTAATGTGGTTTTGAGATTCTTGCTGAAATCATCAGTTTCATACCTCCCAAGATGCCTCTCCCATCAGACAGTTGTGGATATGTGAGGTTTGCAGTAGATGCCGTGCAAAATGCAAACAGCTGCAAACATGTAAACCGAAAAATATACACAAACACCCTTCAGTCGGTGAGGAAAATGTGTATCAAAAACGAGGACAGTTTCCCAGTTGTCCTGCAAACAGACCCCCTCAGAGCTAGACCTTTGCCTATAAGTAGCCGATTCTGAAGCTCACTAGAGTGGAAGCGGTGAATTTCCTGTTCGGCTGTCCGAGGCTGCACCTCACTCTGCCTAGTTTAAAGTCTGGTCCTGTGGCTGCCGTATGGAAATGAGTTTCTTGTTTGAAGAATTTCTCTTTTCTCTTCCTGCCTATGAAAGACTCAGTCAATATTGGACCACAAGAGGTCAACAAGTGTGATTCAGGCTTGGGAGTGACTCATTATTTCACCGCCGGGTGACTGCTGATGAACGGCCCAGCCGATCAAGGAAGCCTCCCTCTGGCATGCAGATGGCCGGCCGTAGCTGAGTTAGAGACGGCATCCCCCATCCGATGGGGTGCCACTGCCTGAAAAACACAGGAGTGGAAGTAGCAGGGGCAGCTTGACATCTCTGCTCTTTTAAGACTTCCATGTAGATGTTTGTGATTCTGAAATTTCACTTTGTGTCCTCCAGATACGTCAGATTCCCTGGAAGATGTGAGGAGAGAAATGGGGGGGGGGGGAGAGATATACTTAACTACTGTGTTGGTGGACCTATTTCTATCATTCTTCTCACCGAGCGGCTAATTTTAGATGCTCCACACCAGTTCTGTTGCCATTTATAAAGCTAGAATGTCAAATGGCATATTAAACAAGAGCCGTGAAAAGTGGCCAGCAAATGCCACCGTGAGGTATTATTTAATAATCAAAAGCCATTATTCGTGGGGGAGCAAAACAGATCCTCACCAGGCCTTAAGGAAAACA